ATACAAGTTTCGCTTAATTATTAATATTAGACTTACTATTATCGCTGGCTGTTATGGAAAGAGCGTCTCCTAATGCGTCAATAGACCCTCGAGAATCGGAAGGGTCCAACCTCGTCACTCAGCTGGAGGAGTTTTCGAGTAGTGGTTCGACAATTAATAAAGACAAAATACGTATGAACTTCGTGCGTAAAATAAAAGACAAAAGGCGCTCGCTCCGGCTGAGTACGTATTTTTATAGGGACCGATTTGAATGCTGGCTGGATTTTTCGTGTCCTGATTTGCTAATGAGCGAATAGAGATGGTAATTATGGGAGGCTTCTATGGCTTCCATTGGTTAGAATTAATTCCTTCTAGAAGGTTCTAAGGACGCTTTGGAGGGAGTCAAAGGATGCACTTGAGTCATACTGCATTAGCTCTCGACTGGCAAATATGTTATTTTTCTCGCGCTATCATTCGGACGCTTCTTCACCGAGATCCTTTGATTCCTGCCGACATTCTGGGTGGTACGGCCGAGGCGTATTTTATATTATTATCGATCGCATTGTAGGGGACTGCGACGTCTTATGAATCATCGCATGGCAAGGGGCGGCTACAACGTCTTGGTGAATCATAGCAAAGGTTAATATTAATATGAAAATGCAAGGTTTACGACAGAGACAATTATAATTGACCGATTTTGAAGAGTTTTGAAAAAGGGGACAAAATTTAATTTGCGTGACGTCACAGTTGACAGCATTTTTTGTATAATACAATACAGGAAAGTCCCCTATTATGAGATAGGCTCCTAATATGCGACAGCTATAGCTATAGGTTTCTGCTAAACTAATAGGCCCTATCTATTGGTTCCACCATGAACTTATTGCCCTTGGGGTAAAATCTATTTAGTGGAAAATTCATTGTTTGATCGTGCGTGTAGTCGTTGCAGAGAAAGAAATTATGAAATTGGATGTTGTCAAGTGCCATGGATATGAGTCTTTAAACCTTGTTTATTATATTGAGTTGCTCAATTGTAGAGATTAGATTTGGTGATCGCGAAACCGCAAGGCGTGGTGCTCGTAACATGAGATACTCAGAGTACTCCTGGGTTGCTGGAGTATGAAAGTTATTGTATAGTAATAAAAGAAGAGAAAATACTATATTAACGTTAAGGGAAGGTTTATACGAATTTATAAGTCTGTGCTGATCTTGATTTGAGAGGGAAGAGTGGAGGGGGAAGATTATAGGTACAATATTGAGTATAAGTGGGTTTACGATTGTTGCAAATATGCTTCTCCATTACATTTGTCTTTCAAAAACTTTAAATAAAGTTTTTTAATTGCAATATCATGTATTTTGCACTTTATTAGCGATTTTCCGGGGTCTCTCATGTTAGAAGCACACTTTTGCGGTTTTGCCGAAAGCTCATTTTTCACATTTTTCTAATTTTCAGCAAAATTAATATTTAAATTAAATTTTACATTTCAGTATCTTAAAGCTTATTAAATTCCCTTCAAAATGACCTACTATATTTTTCAATTCTGCCCATAGACTTCCGGCAATCACACAAAATAGATATGGTATCTCATAATCGGGTACTTTCCTCTACATCTACATTTCTGACATGATCTTATTGCCCCCCTTATTTCTGCCATATATGCCATCTTATTTCTGGCAATGATCTTAACGATTTTTACTTGCATATAAAATATGATTATATATATAAAATATTGTATAATCTAATCGCAAATTTACTTTTTGTAAAAAAAAACGCAAAAGTTATTTTTATAATTATTATTTTTCTTATATATACGAACAGAGATTATACAGAGTTTATACATTTCGTCTATCAGACTATGCAATTTTTCTATTTCTATCTGAACAGAAGTAGAAAAATTCAATGACCTTTTTTTTATCTTACAAAAGTCAGAACTGAACTCCACCAAGTTTGATAAAACTTGGCAGGATTTACAGAGAAAGTTCTCCTGAATGTAATAATACCAGTTTACACGAGGTATAAATTCGCGATTCCCAATTTCCGCGCAACTTTCAGACCCTCGACTTTCTGTGCCGTGCTACGAGACTTCTTCATGAAAAAAAATAATTGTATCGGATTCTACGGATACAAATCTAGAATTATATTGATGTAAATTGGACAAAAAAGAATTACAGTAAGTGCGTAAAAGGAAAATAAATTTAGAAATCTCAATGCCGACACGCGCGCGTGGCGTCAGTAGAAAAAGACTTTTATGGTCAGACATCTGAGGGAAAACTGATTAGTGATTAACCTCGCGTATGAGACAATCTACACGAATAAAATTTTTTTCTTTCATCTTAAAACCGACCATCAACTAACGCTGTTGGCCACATCACGCGTACATATATATTGTATGACATAATATATCTGTAGAAATATATATGTTTAATTAATGGTGTAATAATCATTTGCCTGTTATCAATATGTCTCTTCTGTATACGTCACAGAGTTGCATAAAAAATTAAACAGTCGTAATTGGTTCCTCGATCGCATAAAATATTTCTTTCCCCTATCCGCCGATTAATCTCGCGATTGTCGAAAACACGAAAACGCGCGTATGGCAACACGTGAATTTAATTCATCGTGACGTTACTTGTTTGCGATCTTGCGGATTTAATCGTTGAGATGCCACTTACAATTAGCTAATTGCTTCTGCTTGTAATTCGCTTAATCGTACAAAGAGCGTACGAATGTTCTCCGCGCTCGGTATAGTTATTTACAATTTCCTTGTGCGTTAATCCTCAATAATAACAGGGAGGATAGAATTAAGGATGAACTGGGATGAACTGAGAAGGTAATTTTATTGTTAACAGTATATCCTTTATTTTTTCCTTTGCCTTTATTTTTTACTTTCATGAAAAGACATCTATTATTTGCTTCGTTTTACAGATTTACATATTTCATTAACATTTACATATTTCTTTTTATTATAAATATATATAATTGCGAAGCCAATTGTGTGTGTAATTTGTATATGCCTAATCTTTATACGTGTGGGTACAGATTTACTTGAAATAGGGAAGAAAGAATTAGAAGTAATTAAACTAAGAAAGTAATTTCATTATATATGTATATCAAGCAAAAGTATTCTTTACTTTTGCCTCATGCTTTTTTTGCTTCCATCAGAAGACGATAATACTTTGTTTTGATATAAATTTACACAGTTTCCTAACATTTACAAATCTTATCAAAGACGTTTGAGAAGTAAAAGTGCGGTGTGTTGCATATATACATAAATCGCATGTGCGAGAGTATAAGTATTTGCTGCGTTATCGATGCGTGCACGGACAATCGCAATAATCTCCAGTCAGCTGAACCGCGTGCCGGACCTCATTTTGCCTCCTCGACCGCGCCGCAGTTTCCTCCAGCCAAGACACGTTCACGTGCTTGGCGGTCCGCGGAAAGTCCGTAAAGTCCTTGCGAATGAAAGAGCAATGTTTCACGATCTTTTCTCACGCGGGTATTATCGGATAGATATGATTTTCATGCTATTCAACTCAAATATTTCTAAATTTTCACGCACACCCAAGAGATAATAATTGTAATCGTGTATTACAATCTCACAGGGAGTACGGGGACACTTGTCCCCGATATTATATCGTTTACCTAGTTCAAGTTCATTCAAACTTACCCCGAGGACGGCTGAGGACGGAATTTCTGCGCGTGTATGAATGACATGAGTCGCCGTCAAATCGTGTCCGTTCGTCGGCGTAACTATGGTGGCGCCGAGTCTAACGTTTTATTAACATTGTCAAGGAAAGATCATAGTTAAAGGGCATCAGCAGGCTCGGTTTTAAACTCGCCCCCAGAAGAAGATATATTTCGTAAAGAACGAGAAAAGTGAACCTGGGTTCACGACGCGGAAACATCGCATGAACGATTCCAGCGACGGCGACGGGGTAAACGGCGATTGGATAGTCCCTCCAGGGATAAGAATCCTACGCGAGCCAGCGCGAGGTTTCTGGCCATTGTAACCCATCGAGAATCTGATTTAAAATTTAAAAATTGAATTGCACTATTATGTAATTGAATTAAATTAGTGGTGGTCGATACGAGACCTATATTGGGATAATTTCCCGTTAGAGAATGGGGAGGCAGTAAAAATTTATGAAATTACCGAGGGCGAGCGCGATCATTATAAAATCATCGAGCTTTTATGAAATTGTGAATGTAAGTGTAAAGATAACGCAATTAAGGGAAATATAGTGGTGCGGGAATTATCAAAATAATGATGAAAGAAAGGATACGTTTTAAGCATCCTTCGTGCGTCCTTCCTCCTGCTTGTATCGAAATCAGGCGCGAGACTCACTCGCATGTCTTGCAGCACATTATTATATTTCTGAAAGAAAGTTTGCGATAGACAAAAGAGAAAAAGAGTGAGATAATGTAACCAAGAGAAATAATAATGATACAAACATAAAATAGTGTAATATAAAGAAGAAAGAAGGTAAAGTAAAGCAACATAAAAATTTATATAAAAAAACAAAAATAACACATAATATAATCAATGTAGATATGTCTATGGTAAGTATGTATAAAATAAAAAATTCTTTATAATATTGCAATATATAATTATACATATTATATTATCGGAGCAATAATAATAAAATTAATTAATTGAGTAAATATAAATCGAAAGAGGACAAAAGGACGGGAGCATTTATTAAAAGATTCGCGATATCGTATGAAAAAACAAAACGTAAAAATATAGAAAATTTTGCGGTCACAGAAATCAATTAAGATAATTTCTCTGGCTACATCGAAGAAAAAACGGTCACTTAATTATTGTTAGTCATTACTTACGATATCCTCGGTGTCCGAATCAAAGACACTCGCATCGAACGAAGACTCGAAAGATCCTTCTGTTCCGCTAGCGAAATGATCAATGCAATCCTCCCTTTCCCGTTTTATCTCCGATCTCTCCTCTTTCTTGAACCTTGTTGACGGGAAATCCTTCATTTCGTCCTTAATATCGCGTTTAACTTTCGCTTTCTTCTTCTCTGACCGGACTTTGTCGGATGATCCATCGTCGCATTCATCTCCCTTTTGTCTTTTTCGGGTTTCTTCCGAAAGTGGTATCCTCTTAACTTCCTTCTTGACATCCATCGGCTCCTCCTTGACCTTGGAACTCGTTGATGGCGCATCCCACGAGGCTGTTTTCACGCTCTCGTTCTTCCTCGGCGACGTGTTCGCAGAATCAGGCAGCTTTTTCCTCTTTGAGACGTCCTTGACATCCGCTAACGTACCGAACAAGCGATCGAAATCGGCGGATTCGGGCTTCTTCTGGAAGAGGCGACGCAACTCGTTCAGGGTGGTGGCCGTCGACCAGTCCTTGTCGTGGCGGATCCGCGTGACACGCGGAAACCGGATGCTGATGCCGTCTGCAGTATGCACTCCTTGATTCGTAAACTCGGCTCCCGTTATCTCCCATACTGGCTGTTTCTGCGTCGGGTTTCCACCCGTCGTCAAAATAACGATTAATGGTTACGGCATTATATGGAGGTCCGTAGAGTTTGCGTTTTAAAAATGAAAATCGCATGATCCGAATGAAAAGAGAACAGCGGAAGATTATCAATATTAATTAATCGACTAAATATGGAATTAGGAAGAAGTAAATAGAGATTAGTATATTTAGAAAGAAACATAAAAATGAGATATTTTAAGTCCTTGAAGATTGGTAATTATTATAATATTTAAGATAAAGAATTAACTCCTGTTTTATCCTATAAGGAAATCTCATATGCAACACCGATTTTGTGTCATAAAATAATTTATAAAAAGAAATTTAGAAATTAGATACCAAAAGTTCAATATAAAATTGCTTGTTGTTGACATAATAAAATTTCCGTCCCAGCAACAGGCTGGTTTGTTGGTCGATGGGTCAACTCGCTGGATTACCTTGGGATCTCTCGCCACGAAATCCGGTACCATGGGTTTTTTGGCAAGTAACCAGCTCGGTAGCTTCTCTGCGTCTTTGCCGATCTTCACCATGTCCAGCTGGTCCTGTAATAACGCCAGGGTGGCATCGTCGTGTCCAGTGTGTACCTACGATGACAGGCGTAATCTCCCACTCTGATTCGAGTTGACATTTGAAAAACTCATTAAACATTTTATTTACTTTGGTAACAGTTAACCACTTGCCGTGCCTCTCGTCGTAGCAGCCCATTAAAAAGACCGACAGAATGCCGCCTGTAAAACAAATTTAAAAAAAAAAGAAGAAAAAACACTTAGAAATATTGAACACATTGAATTGGTGCATTGGAATTACAACGCTGATATTCCCACGATAATTTCTGGTATACAGTTAAATTTTACGAATTTTTCGCACCGCGCCGCGATATATAAAGCGTCGCGGTTCATACGGACCTTTGTTGCCCGTGCCGTACCATGCACCAAGTACGACGAGATCTGCGCTATCAGCCATCGCACCACCACACAGATAGTCCTTTTTTACCTTCAACCAGTGCCTCTTGCCCGGCTCGTATTTGCTCTGAAAATGCAAAGATTTCGAAACAGAATAAAACCCAAACAGTGTTACGAAGTAGGTCTTCAAATATTATCAATTTTATCGCTGGAAATTATGGATAGATAAAACGAGAGAAACATTTGTAATATAAAAATAATGAAGTGAATAAATAATTAATAATATGTAAATAAATAATGTCTACGATTATTTAATCATTCATCGGTCGTGTCATCGAAGGAATATAATAATAATGTGAGAGTTCCCGTAACGGGAAAGTCTCTACGTGCCTAATACAAGAGTCGATACGTACATCGATGTCCTTCAGAACCAAACCCTCGAGACCCAGTTTCAACACTTGAACAATCCTTTCCGCTAAATCCCGTGGATCCTGGAAATCAGACGCGAATCTCGTAATCCACGATACCGCCATAAATAAATAGTAATTAGCGCTTTTTTAAATTCTATTTCATTACATGCACTTCGTGAACCTCCGACAACATTATTCTGTTCGGTATCTCGGTCATCCTGTCCTTCAAGATGTTCCTGCGCTCCAACATAGATCTAACGCAACGAGAGAGAAAGAGAAGAGAAAGAGATTTAACGTACCGTCATCAGAATAATTATTATAAAGTATTATTGTATATTTTTACGAAAACTCGATATTTACTTGTCTATAAGTATCTCGCTGTTGTAATATAAGCAGTCGAAGACAAAAAGACATACATTGGCGTTTTTGAATTCGGCTTTCTGAAAACAAACTCGATCACGTATATTAAAATGTCCTTATCGTATTATTATTTAAAGTTATCACTGCATTATTATAAACTCGTCGATTGCAAAATTAAAAATAATGAATTAAATGACAGAAACAGATGCAAAGATATATTCCATCCAAAAATCGTCAAAGAAAAGATAATTGAATAAAAAAAATTTGCGGCAAGGAAAAAAACTCGTCGATCTTACTTTATGAATTCCTAAGGTTCCGAAAGGCAAAGGTTGCCCAGTCTCATTGTCAACCATGAGAACCTCAGAATCGAGGATTAGATCGTCGCCATCAGGAAACGCCTGCACTATATAATCCTTGAAGAGATTCACCTGGAAAAATAGATTATTCGATCGCGTCGGCTCTTTAAGCTTGGAAATCGCGCGGTCGCACTTTGTTATCGTGCGTTTCGGATTTCGTTATTTTCAATTCTATTAGATCATCACGTAAAAAATACCAACAACTCTCGAGTAATTTATCAGAAAATAAAGTATTTAAATCCTTTCAAGAAATCCGGCTTAAAACGTGATAATCGTTTATAAATAGTTACGGTATTTCACGTAACAGTTTTTGGCTCAATTTTACCTTAAATTAAAAACAAATATTTTATAGATATATTACAGTTGCCGGAACTTCTGATTAAAAACCTAAAAATTTCTTTAAATTGATTATCTTAACAACATTCTTCGCGCTTCTTGGTGGCGCTATTTTCGCAATGTCATTGTAAAACATTCAAATACAAAAAATAAATAAAAAAACGTTTTTGGCTTCATATCCGATTCCGTTAAATTTTGCGTAATATTAATAATCACATTTTTATGTTAATTTAATCTTTTCTGTTTCTGCACGGTATCTATAACGTCGCGTAAACCTTCTGAATCATTAAGGGCCAATTTCATCAACCACGGTTAGCTTAACCGACGGTTAAAGTTAGCAGGATTGACTAATAGAAAGCAGGGTGGATTCATTTCTATTGGTCAATCATGCTAACTTTAACCGTCGGTAAAGCTAACCGTGGTTAGTGAAATTGGCTCTAAGCAACATTAATTTAATTCCTTTCGCAAATTGTTTACGCATTTCTGGAAATTATCATCTATACCTTGTGCGGCAGGACCGGCTTGAGGGATCTGCTGAAGTATCGAAAGTCGTTTCCGCATTTGTGCACCTGCACGCGCTCGCCGTCGTACTTGACCTCCGACAACATTCCGTTCGGGCACTTTCGCATCGCCATTTCCACGGACGTGCACGCCTCTGCCTTAATTAATCAATCAATCAATTAATTAATTAATTAACTATCCGGCTGATTAGTAAATTATACAATGCACGATTATTTAGCTCTCCAAATATAGTGTATAACAAACTTATTAACGTGTATCATAAATATAATAATAACAAGTGAATTAATAAACAATGCAATTACTAACTACTAAATAACATAAATAATTCAAACGTAAATAATTATTGATATCATACATAGAATATATTTTGTGTATTATATATACATAGATATATATTATATTAAAAAACTAGATAACTTTCGCGGATTTATTTCGATATACCAGCATCGGTAAAACGGGCGTCATCAGCGAAATGGCCACTTTTTTCCGGCTTAAGGGCGAGCTCGAGGCATGCGGTTTATCCTCCAGATTCGGCAGGAAACGTCGCACTACCGCTTCCAGATCTCGGGACATCTGGAAGGCCTTGTACGCATCCGCATGGAGCCCCTCGAGACTGGATACGACAGCGCAAATATATATACATATATATATTTTAATTACCGTCTTCGAATCGATTTTAAAACTAACAGAAAAAGAAACACTTGCGCGCACTCACATATGTTTCGGTCCGGCGTTGATTCTCAGATCGTGTTTGATCAGACGCACGATCATCTTCAGATCGTTGGCGGTACATCTACAATTTTTATCGTGCATTCGTAACGATTTTGAATACTTAAACATAAAAATAAAAAAATCAAAACGAAAGATGGCATTCAACCATTCAGCTGCAATTGTTGTTTATGCGTATCGTCTTTTATATCGAGCATAATTGAAGCAAATAAAATTTTGAAAGAGAAATAAGGAGTAATATTAAGTGCATGGAATAAATACGTGATAAACTGCAAGAGAGATTGAGACTCCAATTTTAATTGCCAAAATAGCTTTATCGTTATTTTATATATGTCAATTGGATATGGAAATGATAAGTCGGGGCTACGCAACGTAATCGCCTCGGTAATCGCGGTGCGTTTGATATTTCTTTCATTGATAAATATTCCGAGAAGACCTCTTCACATGCCACAGCTGAAAGGTTAACGAGAAGAACGGCCGATCAACGAACTTACTTATCAAGGATAGATCGAAAATGCTGGATCTGCTCCTCTTCCTTGGTCAAACGCGACAAGTTTTCCAAAAAGAGATCGACCTGTCCAATAAATCTTATTAATAAAGGCATGAGACTTCGATGGGTCATTCTGTGCATATTTGCATTTGTTTTGTCGGATGAATTGCGGATAAATTACGGACTTTCATTATCATGTATTTTATCTCAAAATTATCCAATTATTGTTTATTACAGACGGATTATAGTTAAATAGACAAATTAAACAAACCATTTAATTAAAATTTCAATACTTTATGTTGACGTTCCTAATTCAAATTTTCCTTAACCCTAGTTAACTTAATCATAAATTCACCATGGATAATTGTTGGACCAATTAAAATTAATTACGGAGAAAAATCGAAAAAATAAATCAAAAGAATTAAATAAATTGTCGGACTAATTGATTATAATTATAGTCCAACAATTTGTTTAACTTTTTCATTTAGTTCTCCGGCTTATCTCATCATGATTTCTCTTCGTTCTCGAAATTCGCGAAACTACGCCGACTTACGTCTTGAATTGTCAACACGCTCGCGGCGCAAGGCGACACGGCAGCGCTATTTTCAAAGAACACGCTGATCGTCTCGGCCACGTCGCCTTGCTCCAGATGTTCCAGCATCGCGTCCTCGTCCTGGAGCAGCAATCGCGCGAACAATTTTATCAGCTGCTTGCTCTGCAGATTGTAAATTCTCTTCACCGCGCCGGGCAGCAACAGTTTGCACCAGAGCACGATGTCGCCCTTAAAACCGTCTACGGAGTGAACGAAATAAAAAAAGAAAAAAATCTGCGCATAAATATTATTGTTGTAATATCATCTTTCCTCAAAATTAGTATCCACGACTGCTTGATATTCGACACTTTTATCTTTTTTTTTTCCATAAAATTGGGAACGTCTGACGATTCAGTTATCGAATAAAAAAATTTTCCACATTTCAAGGACAGTCTCTTTTTTTAAGCATCCCGAAAAATTTTTCCAATAAAGAGTAAAAAAATACGAAGCAATCTTTTTAAGATAAAAAATGTTTTAATCTTAAGGCATAAAATGTTTTAATTTTAAGTCATAATCAAGGCACCAGGAACCTTTTATCGACCAATTTGCAATTCAACGATTAATCACACGATTAAGATGGTCTCGCTCGTGTACACTCGATACTTCTATCTGCGCGTATAAAAATTTTGTTTAAAGAGTGATATATAAAACGCGAATAAAGTAAATTAAAAAATACAAACTTAAATATCCGATAAAGCTAATAAAAACAGCTCAATTACTTCAATCCGCATGCACATTGCACGATTCAGAAAAAAGATAAAAGTTGCTTAATGGAAAAAGATTATATAAAGATTCGACGTAAAAAATTGTGAATTTGATTAGTTTCGCTCCATCGACGTCTACTTTATCTCGAATTTTTTTTAATAAGCGCATTTGCGAACGATAATTATTTCGAAATAAGATGACTAGCCGTTTGTTATTTTATAATTTTGCACCTCATCCATCGTACATTATTAATTATTCCGTCTATTATTATTCTCCTATCTTCGATAAAAGATAATGTAATAGTAACGATTTATAAATAATATACTTAATAATAATAAAAATCTGATTACGTTTTTCTTTTTTTTTTCTTTTATTGTACTTATGTTTTACGTTTAATATCGATAAGAGATATAACGAAAATATAACTTTTCAACAAAAATAATGGTTGCATAACAATCTCCTATCGAAATGTAAGAATATGAAATTTTCCCTGTTTTTTCTTTCAAACAACACTTATGTGTAACTCGGTCAGCTTCATCAACGTAAGACTGCCGAAGCAAAGATGCAACATTTGTGTCGTGCAACAAGTGCAACAAGTGCCGAGTACGCGCAACAATTGTACTACGGTACTCTCAATCGATACTATTGAAATGCGCGTGAAACTCGCACCAGGTAGCCACCTTCCCCTCAATGAGGACAAATCGAGCGAAATCGAAGCGCGAAAGCGAGAAGTACGCCGCGTGACGCGCGCGTTTATAATTCGCGCTCGTCCGCGGAATTCTTCATCATCGGCGAAAATAGAGCGGCCGCCGTCGTGTCGGCTAGCGAGATTTGAGCACAAAGTAAAACGGCGGCTTTTAAGCCGTCACACAGCACGACGCGGCGCGGTTCCGAGATCCATTAACCGCGCGGCTATCGATGTTGATCCGACACGGATCCTCCGCGCGCTTCGCGCCTTTGAGACGCGCGGCGCGGCGCGGCGCGGCGGTAAATTTCTCCACGGATTGCGAATTCCTCGTGCGCTCTCGCACATCGGGATCCCGATCGGGATGAGATGATCGAGCATGCAATTCGTAAATAATGGTACCTAAGAATAGAGGGGCCGACCCATCCGGGGGGGTGCAGTAGAGCGTCCGAGCGTCGAATTCCGCGTCTCGCGGACGGCAATTCCGCTAGACCGTGTTTCATCCCGCTCACCACGGCCTCAGATCTCCTTTGATCCTCGCGTGAAATATATCCGCCGACGCGACAGGTCGCAATCAGAAAGCGCGACATCCACGATCGCGTAGGCGCCGCGTCGCTCGTCGCCGGGTCGGTCGATCCGCACCCGCGATCCGACACCCGTCATTATTGCTTATCGCAATCATAGGCTCCGAAACGCGCGCATTATCGTGCGTATCGTTTCACATGATACGGGATATGGAAGCCCCTCTCTTTTTTCTCTTTCTCTTTCAGGCAGTCACGCGATGATTTTTTTGTCTCCACGATTGCGTCAGGTCAGCGTATGACGTTGCTCGAATACGTCGAAGAGAGCTGAAGATAAATTGGTCCGCGTCGTTTCGACCGTCGAGTACTTAATTAACCCTGAACCGCATGCCTTGTCGTGAAGAGCGAAATGACACTTTCGTTCATCGAAAAAATCTTCGAGAGTATCACATAATTTATTTCTCTGTAAGATTGTTGCATATTGCATGTTATACCGTTTCTGAAATAATTTTTATAATTTGCTTTTGAGAAATATTATACTACATTTACAATTTAAAATTTTTCTCTATTTCGTAAATTAATATCTTATACTTTGTAATTATTTTATGACAAAATATTATATGCAAAAAAGAAAGAATACCCAAATTTTTCTCCACGGATTGACAGTATTCTACGTAGTTTTATATCTTTTCTTTTTAACGCGTAGATTTTCCTCACATTACTTTTTCTCGCATACTATCGAAAAAAATTACCGCGCATTCTTGACCTCTTTTACGAGGTAATTACCTCGACATCACGAGTTGCACGAGATTTTGCCGGACGCATCATTTATAGGTATTTGTAAATAAATTCTTTTATAATTTCTTAGAACACGTAACTTCTTCGCTTCAACATCTTAAAATATACTCAAGTTCTGAGAATTATATATACAAAGGAAAATATAACGGACAGAGTAACGAGCAGAGTGTGTACAATTCCAAAGTTATAAAGTAAATCAAAATCCTCGTCGATCGATAAAAGAATTTGACCAATGCGTGTAATAGCGAAAACTTGCCCCCCCCCCTCTCGTTCTCCCTCCCTTTCTCTCTCTCTCTCTCTCTCTCTCTCTCTCCTTGTCTAGCCACGTCAGTGTCAGGAAATGTCGTAATATCATGTCACGATATTGTAACGTCGTAATATCTATAGGGAATGGATATCGTAATTGCCGAGTGCGTGAAAAACGCGACCATTCAGCTTCGGCGGGCAACGGTGCGCGTCGGCGAAGTACGACGGGGCGGAATCGAGATAAAGAGCCCGCGGGCTCACGCTCCCGAGAGAAACTCGCGGGAAGTAAGGCGGAGGAAGAAGAAGGAGGAGAAGGAGATAAAAGAGAGCACGAGGGTGAGAGAGGAGACGATAGTCTGGAGCCAAGCTGGCTAACGCGAGAAGGGGCTCGCCGTCGTCGCCGTCGCAGCGCGACCGATCGCGTTCGCGGAGAGGAAGAGGCTCCCCGCGCGATTAGAGGTGGGGGCGTCCGAGTGCTTATAAGACACGAGGGTCCCGCCGCAAGAGACCGAGAATCGATAGTTCGCAAAACCGCGGGGCAAGTAAGATCATTCGAGAAGCACGAAAAGGCAAAACGCGAAGAGAAAAAGAAGGAGAGAGAGAGAAAGAGATAGACAGATAGAGATATACGGGAAAGTATTTAAACGAACGGTGGACTCGACGTTGACTTTAAGTAATCACGATCACCCGCGAATCGGACGTATAAATTAAAAAAAAAAGGAAAACAAAATTGATTTATATATAAGGAAACCGATCTTTCTTTCCACTGTGCGTGCTGCGGTAAGCTCGAGCGAATCATCGAGCGGGGAAGTTCGAGGGAAGCAGGAATTTTGGCGAGGCGTTATTGGCTACCTGAAGAATCTGCTCAACCCTTGCGACAGTGACAGTGAGTATCCTTTGGAAATCGCATCGACGAGATATATTTCCTATTTTCCTATATTATTAATCACTGTTAATACACGGCTTAAACAAACTGTTCAAGCCGAATAAATCAATGATTATTTAATTTAATTATTGGAGTAAAATTCGTAACACTCAAGGTAATTGAATAAGTTTGCGCAAATATATATGTGTGTGACATATCTTTTAATAAGATTTTTTACTAAAAAAATTTCCAAAATATTTACTCATATATTTATATCAATATCTAATATTATATATTAAATCCAAGTATTTATTTAAAATAAAAGTGGTTTTTATTCACGTCTAAAACTTTGTCCCTCTCGCCTCTCATTCGTTACTCATAGTCCTCATAGATTTATTTAATCACGCGTGTCGCGAAGGACACCGACTCCGCGAGCGGCGAGCGAAAACAGTGTCTCGAAAAAGGACAAAAAAGGGAGAAGACTGCTTCTGTGTAAACTATTGCGGATGACAGACTCGTATGAAGCTTTTCGCGAAACTTGGACGATCTTTAGGAAGTTTCGCGACCTCTCTTTCTTTTCGTCCGGCCGCACAGATAACCCCGTCAAAATTTTCCACTTAGCGGCCCTCGCGGTGCCCAAGTCTCATTCGCGCCCGCTTGGATGATTAATGGTTTCCTTGTATCCGATTCCGGTATCATCTTTATTAACCGCCGCGCCGCTCCGGGTCTCGCCCCTTCGCCTCTGAGAAAAGCGTGCACGGGAAAGAGAGAGAAAGAGAAACCGCGCGAAACGAAGCTCGAAGGCGATCTCTCGGGAGGAAGAGCGATAGCGCGGGAAGAGAATCACAATGGAATGAGAAATAAAGCAGCGCAAAAAGCGGGGGAGCTTCGCGGCTCCGAAAGCAGCGTAGCGGGGGAAGTCGAGATAGACCTCGAAGTGATGGTGTTTACGCGGAGGAGAGAAAAGCGCGCCGCGCCGCGCCCGCGCCGCGCTCGTCGATATCCCCATTGATGAGATCAATTAAATTCCGCATCGGTTCGCTCGCTCGCTTCGCCCTCGTTTTGCTTCTTCTTCAACTTCGCTGCGTCGCGTAACACGCGACCTATGCGTACGAGGCCTCGTGATTCATTCCGGTTTATTCCTCCGTCTCGTGCGACTTGCGAGTCACGTCCTGCCTCCGCCGTGCCTCTACTGCCTCTTTCCGTTTGTCTAAGGCTGCGGTCCGATTCACGCTCACAACGTTGTAAGCATCATTCTGTCTTTGTTGCACATCAATAATCAATATCAAACGAAGATAGAGCGATGCTTACAGCGCTGTGAGCGTGAATCGGACCGCAGTGCAGCCTAAACAAACCTACGTAATGCAGGAGCAGCAGAAGCGCAACCCATTGCATTGGTTTAGAAGGTGGAAGCAGAGGAAACGGAGGGAGAACGTATCGCGTAACGGATCGGATTCGAGTCCTGACGAAACGTTTCCTTCTTTTTAAGCTTTGATCTTTAATCTTCTCATTAAAGAGAAAAACAACCCCTTGGCATGATGAAGACGTAAACACGGTAAAGGGAAAAAAGAGATGAAAATAAGTTATAAACGCGAATAGAAAAGTATTCGTGCAAAAGTATTTTGCACAAAATTTTGCCACTAAGAGCTTTATTTAGTACAAATCCTAGTGTAAATTAAGATTGCATTTTTTTTTAGATAAATTTTCAGTACATTCTTCAGTGACTTATTGGTGAAAAATTGATCAAAGCTTTTACTAACCACGGCAGATAATTTTGCAATATATTTTTAATTAACTAAATTGCAATGTAATAGAAAGAATGCATATCAAGTCTTACTATTTTCTCCATTTTTTCCCCTCAAGAGAGAGTTCAGTGTTGCAAAAGAAAACGTGGTGGATCCGGGAATCAGCGGACTATGGAAAATGTATGAAGTTTCCGGTGTCGGGCTACGGCTGAATAGGTCCGCTGGCTGGGAACGCAGGAATTTTAACACTTCGGCCGCGACAGCTGGGATATTACATAAGGGATTACGTTGATTTCACACGAATCATTATTACGAAGTGCCGGTGATCCTCTTACCAGGCGCCGGTTGCGCGCTCAGATTTATCCGTCGCGATTGAGAATTTTCGATTTTGTTAATATGTATATTGTATATCTCCCACAGCTGTCGCGATAAAATCGTCAAGTTAATTTGTATCGCCCTGTACGCAAACGGATCGGTTAGTTTTACGCCGTTCAATGGCGCATAAAATAACATCTCGTCATTGAAAATCGTCCGTTCTTTAACCGACCGCTGTTCGCGTAAACGGGACGCAGAGTGTTTAATTTCTGGGCGTTAATTCGCTGCGAAATGTTTCCTATTCGACACCTCTTGGGGAGAGTGCCGGCAGGCTCTCGCAGACCGTCGAGGCGTTAATGAAAATACGTCTGTTAAAGCGCGAGTTCGCCGAGTTTCTTTGCCTGATTTTCGTAGAGCTTTCCCGCGAATCGTCGAGGGTCCAAACGTTGTGAAGGAAACGAGGAGTGGAACACAGAGGAAGAGAGAGAAAAAGAGAACGAGGGCGGTAGAAACGATGGATTTTTACGCGCGAGCGCGAGAATGAAACCGGTTCGCTCTTGGGATTCCTATACGGTCGATTCTTTTCCGGAGGAGCAATCGTCAATGAGAGAGCTCGCCGTTTTCTTAAACGCATCTGATTATTTTCATCAGCTTCTCCAACTACGCTTTGTCGCGGAGTTTCTCGATCGAGGGAGGAAAAATGTTATTGAAAACTCACGATCGATATCGCTTCTGTTATTGAAAGCTCACCCCAAGGTAGAAATGTAATTGTTTATCTTGAAATCACATGTAGAATCATCAAAGATTGTTGGACCAATCCACCCTTTTAAATTCGAGGGAAGACTTTGCCGCGTGGGAGCAACGATGCGACGAGTTTATCGAATCGTTGCAAGAACAAAGCCGAATTAAACGGCCACGATTATCGATCGGTCTCAAACAGTCGTTGGTCGCTTGTAGCAAGACTCGAAGGTTTGAAAGATTCGGTACGTCAACGTTTCGTGCATGTGGGTGCAGGATACAGTGCAAGTGAGACAGGACTCATGTCAGATGGCGCGAGATAGATCCGGCTTTTGAAAGCCGTATACTGACCGGTGTGGTAATAAATTCCAAACACATCAACCCTCGTCAATTTCTCAAAGATGCGAGAGAAATTGTACTCGATCGTGTGTGGAACGTCATGCAACGGCACGACAATGTAAAAAAATTGTGCAAATTAGAAATTTGCACTTGGCTTCCTCATAGAGGAAGCTTTAACTTCCGCAAATTTGGAGATATCGATCTATTTCTAATTTTATTATATTTTTCAGTCTTTTCTACCCCTATTTCATATATAATTCTTTTAAATTCGGTTGATTAGACTTAGCTTTATACGTGATCAAAATCTCCGAAATTTCAAACGTCTGTAACTCCAGAACTAATTAACCAAATCTTAATTAATTATATATGAAATAAGGGTAAAAAAAACTGAAAAATTTAATAGAATTAGACATAGATCGCTATCTCAAATATTGAGAAAACTATAGGATAAAACACACTTTTCTAAAAAAAAATTCCAATAAAATCTATACCGGTCAACCGATTTTAATAAAATTTGAGGAGAAAGCTCTATGAGGAAGCAAAAAATCTATAAATGTCAAAACCTTAGGTCTCTACTAAACAATGGAACAATTTTCGACAGACTACAAGACGTGCATTGCAAGTTGCTTTTGTTTCGTAACGAGTAACCTGATTGAGGAAAAGGCGTTATCGTATATTTCGTGTCTCGTGACTGGTTTCGAAAGAGATCCGGATTTCTTTGTCCAAAAATAAATCCGATACTACTATCGAACTCTAACTGTAAACTCGCATTTCCGGTCGAAATCACAAATTATGTATCTCACGATAAGTCACGATAAGTAACATAAGCCAACAGAGTTAACTGCCCCCATTTAACCCCGTACTGCGGACGTGGGGTAATTTTTAATTTTCGGGAACTTGAAAAATTTGCATCTATTACTATTACAATTCAAGTCTAGTTAAGAAGAAATTATTATCAAATTTCGTGCAATAAAAACATAAAGCTCATTATTTCGTTTTCCTCGAATTCTTATTTTTTTATATTTAATCACCGGAATTCTTTTTGGAGTCCTATTTATTCTTCTCGTTTAAGACGAAACATTTTAGATTTTTTATATAAAAATATGTTATATGTATATATAACACCAAGATATCAAACGTCTCATGAAATATCAAAATAACTTTATGATTTTTCGATAACTTCATCTTAATACTTTTGCATGTAGAATAGTGAAAGAAATCGACTTATGTAAAAAAACATATAGTTTCATTTAAGGGTTAGAGAAACCGTGAGCGGTATTCTAAGAAGGACCCGAACGGATTTTAAAAGACCAAAAAGAATTTTAGTTATTCCTAATAGTGTCTGAGAATAGTGTTTTATTCAGATTGAACTCCCCTGTATATCAATGCAGATAAAAACAATGTATTGATGCACAAACATATTTTGCAACGATACATTATTCTTTATGCGTGTAAAATCATTTCGCAACGATAATTTTGCAACAATTCTTTATTTATGTGTTTCAAATCAGTTCAGAAGAAACAAACTTTATTTACCCGCTACAACTTTATTTATCTAACTACAATCCATCCATCACATCACAATGAAGTATATAAATCCTCAGAAATCTTCCTCTCTGTCGGAAGATCCGTCTTTAACGTGAGAACGGTAAGAGAAATCGTTAATAAACACCTCCGCGGCACCCTTGTGAAAATATTATAAGGATTCTGATTAATAGGGCACTCAGCCTTTCGGACTCGGATGTATTCATATTCTTCTCTATATATTAAGAAAGGAGCAAAATAGGCAACAGTGAGCGTGTCTCTTTTCATAATTCTGTAGCGACAGAAAAAAAGATGGACCGATTGCGATTTTGTAAAAGGCGAGAGCAATTAAGTTTCGAGAGAAACGTTATGAGAACGAGACGAGATTTGCCAATTATTTGCAGTCTACTGTCGGCTTATCGAGGTCACCGAAACATCTCTAATCTCGAAAATTATCTCGCAACCTCTCTCTTTTCTCTCTCTCATTACCGCATGTGCATGCCGAATAATGCATGCAGATGAACTCGATTAAATTATATAACCTCGCCACCTTCGATTACTCTTACCACGCGCCATCAATCTCGGCGATATATTATTTATCTATCAATTTTTGAACAAACGTTGATATGTATCGAGCATTCCTACAGAAGTAACGTGGCCCGTGGCATAACCGAAAGAAGGGAGAAGAATTATTCCTCGCGCGCAATGATAAATCAAAAATTAAAATAAAACTTAAAATTCAAAATTTTTAATCTAGAATATTGAGAAAACCTTCTAAAATGTTTAGTCTTTAAAAAAAATCGTCTGATAAAACTGCAACTCGACCAAAAAGAATTTAATCCAAAATTAATCCTCACATCAATCTAGAATTTAATCCTCACATCAGTTCAACTTTTAATAGCGGATCATCGGATCCCTTTTCATATCGGAGAACATAATATTCATTGCATACAAACAGATGACGTCAGTATATAAATAATATAATAATATATTACAGAAATAGCACACGTTCTCCCTCGTCGAAAATATTCGACCCTTTAATTAAGGTTCCCTTAATTTAGCTAGCAGTCGTTTGATCGATCGCTTGAGCGATTACGCGAGATATCGCATATATACTTATAGAAAAACAGATACAAGTACTTACCTCCGAGTGATCCTTTTGTAAACATCCTTTTAATAATCGCAGTCTTGTCGGTGTAAGCATCGACGTCGGCGACATTGCTGCATATACGTCGAAATTCGCGAAAGGAATCATCCTTCGACGGGATTTTGCTCTTTCTCTCCTTATCTTTCTCTTTATCTTTTTCTTTATCATCCGTTTCAACCTTCTTCCGATCTAAATTCTTCTTTACTGTTTTCCCCGAAGAATTACTAGAAGAGGCCGCTTTACCTGGCGATGTAGTCTTCTTCGCACCCTTAGCCGGAACTAGAAACGAGAATTAAGAGCTAGTACGCAGAGCATTAAAAGTTATTAATTTGTTATAACATGAAGTAATTATTACATTAATTATTATGAAGTATTTATTTATTTATTATAAAACATGAAGTAATTAATAATTTTACTCCAATAATTTTAATATGAAAAAGTTGGATTAAGCCCCATAACTGCTTTCATTTATTAACTGTATTTTATTTTGCTCATTATGCTTTACTTACTGGCACGATATTATAATCTGCACGTTTTATAATATTTCTAATAAAATTTTGACATATATTTATAAAACTTAAATATTGAAAAAAGTTCACACATTATTTATTTCTAACAAATAAGATCATATTAATCGTAATAAAATTAATAAGAGATGCTAATGAAATTTTTATCTCGGAGATAACCGTTGGTGGGTCAGAATGACGAAATTTCTCAATGGCATTTCCTTCCTACATGTTCGTACATCGAGAATATAGTAGCCACCTCCACAAAACGATTTCTAATTACAGGATGGAATTACGTAGTAACGAATTACGAAATAACGTAAATATAACACCATTGTGATCTTATATCTCAATATCGATGAACTTTTCCACCCCCTTATGCGAGAGAACAGCAATCTCTCTCATAAGCATCGAGCATCTTTGAAACTTTCTGCAAAGCTCCAGTCGTAAGGGAGAAACTCTATTAGAAATCGCGGAAGTTTCAAAGAGAAAAGCTGGAAAGCCTTTCAATGATTCTCTCTGTAACATCGGTGATATCGCAACTTCGCTTCGAGATCATGCGACGGATAATACACTCGACTAGGTGCGAACGTTAATTCATTTCGAGAAATCGAAAAGACGCAGTGGCGGATCTACAGATCTACAGACTAATGAAGCTCGAGTTTCAGAACTTAAATGCAGAAAGAGACATGTCCCAAAGAGACCAGATGTTCTTTTAATGGTACATTCCTTGGACAATTCGAAATTAATTTTTCAACATAGCTTAACAAAGCTATGCAATAATAATTTACGAGTCACATGCGATTGGCAAGAAAGAACTTTTCACAAACTATATAACTTTAAGGAATCAAATGGATAATGTTCTCCAGCTAATTTTATCTGCAGTTTACTATATAACGGAATCTGAATCTGAAATCATAGAAAATTATAAGAATAAAAAACGTGATGTAAGAATTGGAAAATTATGATGAATGATAGCCTACATTTTCGACTTTTCCTAACAAAAAATCGACTTGAAATTCAAAAGATTTGTCGCTAAAAAATAAATGACAAAAATGATTCCATAAAGTTTTCTATTCGACGAAACTTTTCGGGAGAATGTAAAGAGATCATTAGGCGCAACAATATAGTGCGCAAATAAATCGCACGAAGGAAGTGATTTCTCTAAATTTAGAATAATTACATGATTTTTCGAATGCCTCCAGCTTGTCCAAGATGACCTTCCTGTCGTCGTCGGACAATTGCTCCCAACCCTTCACGTCCTCCGCGGGATCGTCGATCTTCTTGGTGGTGGCACGTTGTTTCGCGAACACGTCAAACAGACAGGTGACGTGGTGCCAGGCCGGCATCAGTTTGCCGTCCGAGAAGAAGCTCGTCACGTACTTGGCGATCCGTATCTCGCCCTTCTCGATCGGACATTTGCACTTCTTACATTTTGCGCGGCCGGTTTTCGCGCGTTCCACGGCGAACGGTTTCTCTTCCTCCTGCTGTTGCTGCTGTTGATCCTCCTCATCACTGGACATGACGTTCGAAACGTCTATCGCGTTTAAACGAATTTAGGGATAACGAATAACGGACGGAGAAAATTCTATTCCTGAACAAAAGAAGAAAATTCATTCATTCGAATAGAATTGAATTCAACTCGACAAATGGTATAACGTTAAGTAGTCAGCTCGAGTATTGATTCAGTCAATACAATTCGTACAATGAATTCATTAATGGCGCGAAGGATTTATTTTATAATATACAAAGAAAAATACACCAAATTGGAATAAGATATTACTACGTGTTAATTTTCAAATTAATCTTTTCGAAAACAAAGTCGCACGTATATTCTTGTTTCTTCACACAGAATCGTTGCTTTCGCCACACCGCCAATTACAGAACGCCCTTCGTGTAAATTACCATATACATATGCATGTCGTTACCAAATACCTCGCGAGCATTCTCGTAAGGTTTCCGCGCGTGGCTTTCTCTCTATCTCTCTCTCTTCCTTCCTCTCTCCCTCTGTTTTGAGCGTTACACATTCGAACGCGCGTAACTAGGGAACCAGGGATCAATTGCGGATCTATCGCGGATATGCTATACGCATTACGCCCCAGCTAGCTTTGCATTAATTTCGCGTGCAAGTTAAGCGGCTCTTTCGTAAAGGTAGAGCGGACAAAGCGAGCGTGCAGTTGCGCAAGCCGCTGCACTACACGCTCGTAAATGACGTGCACGTGTAATGGGTATTAGGTAATTAACCCCAAATAAGCGCACGGCGCGGGATTCCCCGTTGATACACGTGGATGTACATGACGATCGAGTTTGCACTTACAATTAAGAGACGCCAGTTTTTATCCAAAACTGATGGCGACATGTAAAAAAAATCGATGTAACGCCAGGAACAATTTATCTCCCTCAAAATAGCTAGGATTCACTTGGGACTCCACAATTGAAATGTCGGTCGAATTTTCATCGCGAAAGGATGAGATTCCTCCGCGTTCTTTATATTGTCTCCCGTCAAACAATTTAAATTCGTTGAAATGCGTTAATGTCGAGACGTAGGCGAAATATATCGAATTGCATAGACAAAGTTGCTGTACGCAATTCGCAACGTCGTAGTTTGCGTTCGTGTATCAATAATCTGTTATTTAAGCTCTTATTAGGGAGAGATTCGAATACAATAATCCTCGAAGTAGCTCTCTCTCTCTCTCTCTGCCTTTCGTTGGCGATAAGCGAAGATCGAGTGGGATGATCCCGCTGCGTCTTATCTGCCGACGGATATCGAGCGGTCCCGATCACCCATCGAGGTCGATCGAGATCGAGGATGCTCGGATTTATTTACTCACAGAACTAACAATTTCGTCATTTGGCGCGGGATCTCGCGCGAAGAGGAAGAGAGGGAAGAAAAAGGGGAAGAAAGAGGAGAGAGGCTAAAGGGAGGAATCTTGACATCGAATCTCGATAACAGTCTCCCTCTCCGTATCGTACGCGCGTGTCCCCACCCTCTTCCCCTCTGTGTCGCGATAAGAAACGATCTCGAGTGTCACCACCCGCCCGCGACGTAAGACCGGACATTGCTAAATGTCTAATTATAAATATTCGCTCATCAACGCACAATTTATGATCGGAGACGCGCGCGTGTTCTTGCAACCGACGCGACGCGACGCGACGCCGCAAGAGCGCGATCCGCGCGGCGTGATCCAAAAACGCACCCTCCTCCTCCCACGCGTAGATTTCTCAATGCCTCTCAATGCCTAGATGTCTAAATTTCTCGACAGAATTCAGAGGAGAATGTGCGCATCGCAGACGAGCTATCCGCCCGCCTGCCTGACGTTGGTTTGTTTTCATTACGCGTCGATACTATCGGCAAATTTATAATGCGCGTCATTTTCCTCGTCATTGTCGTAATAATTAGCGCGTCGCAATTAAATCGCGCGACACCAGGCGGGAGTATTCGAATCGGCTTCTCGAGCAATCTTCGACAAAATAATAAGGAAATATGATACGCATATCGGAGACTTTCCGCGGATTCTGCGGACGATGAGTCAATTATATCATATCAATAAATATTGATTTTCATAAACAAGAAATTATGAAGCTTTGATTCGAGTCGACGATCGAGCCTTTTAATAATAAAATTTTTTATGTCAAAAAACTTGCACAGGCTTTTAAAAAAAGAATTGAAAACTTTAATAATATATGTACACTGAACCGGCAGAAATGCCTGGACATATATGTATACATGTCATCGAAACGTCCAGGCATTCCTGCCGGTCAGTGTACTCACTAAAAGAGGAATAAAAAACACTCAATTAACATAAAATGGAAAATAAATGTTATCAGAGATAAAAACAATTTTCGATTTTGATAATACAGATGATTTGCTTGCGCTCTTGCACTCTTAAGTGATTTTTTTACGTAAATTCTTACATTTATTCTGTATATAAAACTGTTAAAGAAAGATCATCTAAATTTCTAAAAAAAATGGATACTTTGTATGAAACATTTCATATAAACATCCGCGATATAAATATATTATCTCGATATGTTCGAACAAAAAATATGAAATATAAAATCTTCACTCATAAAATATTTACTTTTCGATGACCTTATCTGAATACTTTCTGTCATACGTGAAATAATCGAGAGAAATCGATTTTAGCAGGCAAATTATTATACCGAAAATTGGTTTTATATTTCTAAGATTCTCTTTAATTACCTTCTTAATTTTTTTATTTATATTTATTAGACATCTTTTAACATGCGGCACGTGTTTTAAAACTGTTTACGCTACTAGTAGAATTACGTACATATAAGTTACGTGATTCGCTGCAAAAGAGTCTCACCCCGATCAACAACGAAAAGAAAATCGAAAATCTGTCGGTTCGCAGCTAGAACGTCATCTTACAAATCCGTTCGCGCGATATCAGGTTTTCCTTGGATTCCAAATCAGAATCCAAGAATGACGGTGGCTTAAACGGCGCGGTCAAGGAGAACCGTGTGTTAACAACAAACGGGCGGGGGGGAGGGGGTCGCGCAAAGGTAGGCGTCGCGCATTTCGGCGAAGAAATGATGATGAGAGGCAGGGGGTCGGGCAACCCTTCTTATTTTCCCGCGTCGCGTCGGACACCTACTACAACAGGGCGGTTACAGAAACATATCGGGGAGGGCGGGGATGACACGGATGCGGAGGAGGATACCTGCGCGCGGGTATAATAGAGGGTGCAACAGCCCTTCGTCGCTCATTCTACCACCGCGTGTCGTACCGTCGACGAAATAGATCGCGAGTTCTCAGCGAGATTCGACCAAAGTAAGTTACGCTCGCGCGATTCCCTGATCGTCCCGACAGAATTTCTACGCGTGCCATTTCATTAACGGCGATTCTTTGGCTCGTTTAAATCAAACGGGTTTAATTTAGTTAACCCTCGACTTATCGAATATTTTTAAAGAGTTGTAAGAATTATTGGGTGGATCCGTTTGTGTATCGGTCATTCAATTTTATTTCTCTTTATTTTTCTTTGCTAATCAATTTCATCAAGTTCAATAGATTAAATTCCGTCGTGACGAACGAAATACTCCCTTCACTGTCGTCCTTTGTTCGGCCGAGCTAAAAAATTCGTCGATCCTCGCATCAATTCCTAAGTAAATCATCGGATCCCCAGCGGCGAGCTTCTGCGTCGAACGCGAGTAAATCTGCGTGCGAGAGAATTGGTTTCTAATCGTTTTGTTTGCGACAGAAACAAGCTTCGTCGCGGTGCGCTTGTTCTCGCGGCCAGCGAGAATAACGGCGAAATCGATTTAGAATCTATAAATAATCGTTAAACGCAGCGCGTCACCAAACAGCGATCGCTCCGTCCGCCAGGTCCGCCGCCTGCACCGATTTCTGGATATTTATTATTATTTTCCTCGTTAGTGTTATTATCGCCGCGCCGTGACGCGCGACGGCGACGTGTCCGCGCATCTGTCACTTCGTATCGTTTCCCATTATCGTTATTGTATGTGACGCGTAATATCGCGCAGTTTCGTGATAACTTAGCCCGATAACTTAGCCGCGAGTCTCCGCTCTCTCGCGCTCGATTTTACTTCTTCGTTACCACGTGACACTCGGCCCGTCACGCGATAACGCCGTATCGGTCAAAAGGATAATCCGCGATGACCCCGGGAGACTCTCGATCGCGCGGATCGTACACACAAATCGCCCGCCCGTTCCCACCTCCATCTTCGAGATTCGGTGCCCCGTCCTCCGTGACGAGGCAAAAAAATCAATTATATCAGCGCAAAACCATCGCCGACGAGCATCTTTTGCCCCCCGCATCTTGGGCCCTTCGCGCGCGAACGCGGGGATAACCCGCGAGAACTTTTTTATCTCTCGGTCTCGCGGTGACGAGAGGAACGTTACGATATACATAATACAATCACCACGACTGTATGCTGTCTCTCCGTTTTCTCAAGCTTCGCCGTTCGCGATATACCAACGCGACTGCGACATATGCCTACGCGTGCGAGAAAGCACGCGTACTTACATATTCCTTCCGGTTCCTTGCATTCGCTTGTTCCGCGTTTACTTGTGCCGTTTTGTGCCTCCCCATTTTTCTTTTTACAGTTTTTTTTACGGTTTTAAGAAGTTTGCTTTTCATAAGGGCTGTTGCTATCATTATCATTACGAAATTTATTCAAAAAGGGAAATCTTTTCCGGTCTCTGATCTCGGCAGGATATTTTCCCACTTTCCTTTCGGGTATTATGACCGTTTCGCAATCAATTCCGTTAATTTACGAGGATTCCAATATTTCGGACACGAAGTGTCATAATTCTTCCGAACATGTCTGCGGAAAGCGAGAAAGACTATCGGAAAAGGGAAAGTATTAAAAACCTGGCAGGTGTATCCATAAAGAGAGAAAACTTGTTCATCTTCCTGCAAAAACACATTACAAACGCGAAATGTTTTCGTCATATTAAAAATACAAAAGAGATTTCGAGAAGGAGCTGTGTCCAGTTGGAAGGACAAAGATTCGTTCCTGAAACATACTCCCCTATTTTTCGGGTGATTCAATTAAAACGCTTCCAACCCGTAATTTCTCGTAATGAACATTCTGTAATACTTCCGTAATTCTTATATGTAGGTAAATCATCGTTGTCATTCATATAATTTCTCTAACAATCCTCATTACGCAATCGTAATTCTTATAACAATAATCCCGTCTTACGATATCCATATATTGGTTCTCTGTATTATTCTTATCTTCTGTACGAGCGCGCTTTTCTTCTCGTTTTCGCAGAGAGCACGAGATACGAGGGAATGACGACAAGAGGTAGTCGACGAGCCGCCGCTAGGACAAGCTTGTGTCTGCTGGCGGCACTCGTGCTGTCCTGTGCCACGAGTGGCATCAACAGGGCCCACGCGTTTCCGCAACCGCAACCGCAACCGCAACCGCAACCGGAACCGCTGCCGCCGGGCTTCTTCTACGGCGATTCCGCGGACGAGGCAGAAAATATCGTAAGCAATAGCGTAATCTACACGCGGTGACGTTTCTTCGTCAACAACCGGCACAATTCCGCTGAGTTCATATACTCAAGATGCTTTCGAGCAAAGAAAATGATTTAGAATCTTAGATAGACACTTGTGTTCAACAGAATTGCCTAATCGAATAGAGAATTCCTGAAATCTCGAAAGCTTTTTTACTCGATAACCAATCGCGTGACACTGTGTGTCCACGTGGACATTCTCCGCTAGAAAGTATTTCCCGATACTAAACGCCTGCGATAAGGAGTTTTATTCGCGAGTAAACAAAATGCGCTTGACATAAAATCGCGGTTCTTGCACATTCGTAGCACTGGACTCGCGGACATTGGACATTAAATTAAATCGGCACACAAGAAATTACATGGAGAAAAATATTACAGTGTATGAATTACACATAAAAATCATATATTTTAATTTTCTTTAAATCGCATCTCTCGATTCTTATTCTACTCGATCGTGCGCAGATGCTGGTGAACCGCCTGAAGCAACTGATGGAGCAGAAGCACCGGGTGGTCGAACAGGAGCACGAGATCACCGACGAGCAGATCGAAATCCAGGCGATCCTGGAGGCGAAGGCGCGGGAACGGGAGCGGGAGCGGGACCGCGCCATGTCGATGGAACAACCGCCGGACTACTCTGCCGGGGAACCGGAACCGGAAGCGCTGCCGGTACCCGCGGCCATGATCCACGATCAACAACACCCGGGCAAACGACACGGCATGAACGCAGTTAGCTGTGAGTATTTCCCGCCTCTTTTTGGTCTTCGTCACTGCAAAAGGCGCAGATGCAGGCTCGAGAGTCGAGCCCCGAGAGAAAATCCCGCGGAATCTCGCTGGAACGTCCCTCAGATACAGCGTGCCTCGCGTGAAAGAGAATAAAGCGTAGAGCGAGATATTTGTGATAACGATCTCTTTTTCAAAAGAAGAGAAATGATAAATCACACGGACGCCTCGGTACAAATTAAAATTGATTGAGATGATAAATAGAATAGCTAAGCTTAAATTAACAGTTTGCAAGAAGTTTTATGGAGCTTTATAATAATGAGGCAAAAAATCAAGAGTAATGTGCCGCGAAATGGTTGAGCAAAGATATAAGAAATAAAAGTAGGACCCGAGAAGAATTTTACGCGAAAGCATTCTCGTACTCTAGTAACATTGCCCGTTGAGATATACCGGTGATATCTCTTAAGGAGGGGACATTCGCGGAATCATTTCAACGTATTTCCCGCGGATTTCCGTCGTCATGTGGGATGACTTAGATTCGGAGCAGCGAAACAAAACCTGGCCGTTATTGCTCCTCCCAGGATTAGACAAGTAGATCCCGAGGATCGGGAGATTATGCCGCGCACGTTTCGGAAAATCTCGCGGAGAATTCTTTTTCATTTTTGGGAAAAGCGGTCGAGAATATATTTCTCTTTATTTCGAGATGGGTGTTCGGGGAAAGACCCCAAGAAATCAGAGAAAGAGAGAGCGAGAGAGCGTTTCTCGGCTACCACTAATCTTACGAATAAACTCTTCTCGGTGAAACAAACGTGCATGTTGCATACATGTATATATGGCAATCTGCGCCGCGTTCGATCGATCGAAGACGATCATCGATGACAATTGATTGGAGCAATTGGCGCGTGACGCATTACGTGTCTTTCGCTTCTCTTTCTCTCTTTTTTGCGTGTATCTTTCTTGATTGATTCTTCGAAACTGATTCCTCGACTCGAGCTCGAAAGGGAGATCGTCGATCGTAGACTTTTCATTTAGATTACAAGGTAATTTAGGTAACAAGCGGTATTTGACAATTATACGTTTGTTCGTTAGATACGAATGCAATTTCTTCTTGTCTTTTTCATTTACCGCGGAGATACTTCGTGACGTCTAAAAATTAAGTATGTTTGTTTAAATATGAACGCAACTCTAAAAATATTAATAGGCATGATGAGATAATTCGTATTGCTCCAAGTAGTCCTTTTATTTGAAGTGAGTAGGTGCACAATTCGCTAATTTTAGTTTTAATCTTAGAGAACATTTAAAGTTCAAATATTTTCTTCACTGTGGCCTCGAAGTGCCAGTTCGCCTACAATATGCCATGTGGCATGGTAAAGCAATATCATCTCAAAAGACAGTAGTAAACATGTTGGCTGCCGATAAAATACATATTAGATGATGATTCTGTTCGCGTTTTAATTTGAAAAGTGCGGCTGAAGCCGAGAAAATCCGCGTTCTGTTCTAGGCGAAATTACTCATACGAGTTACGACGTAAAAAGCGAAAGATTTCGTAAAGAAGATTTTGATTTGAGTGACCGACCATGTTTCGATTAACCTCAGGAATTTGAAAATTAGAACAGCTGCTAGATCAAAATTCCCCATAATAAACACACAGTTTCAAGTCATCCGACAAATTATTTCTGTTTAATTGCATCAAATAAAAAAATTCAGAAGGAGAGTAGATGAACTAACTTGTGAAGATTGGTAATTAAATTTGTTTGCTTAAACACACGAGTGCTCTTTTCCACAAATAACGTGTTTAAAACGGGTGGTAATAATTCGTATTATTTGGAACGATCGTCTCATTTAGACTTGTAATGTTCAATAAAATTAAGTTTCTTTGCTTAAACACGCGACGACAACTTTTTCAAAAATATATACGTTAATATATTTCGTATATACGGGGCGATAGTGATTTACTTGAAATAATTTTAATAGCTATCGATTTATAATTAATATGTAAAGAATTCGTAAAAGTCACGATGCAACGTTCACCGCGATGCGGCTGCGGCAGCGGCGAGTAACGGACGCGATTCATGTTTCAGACATGTCCCTGTGCCACTTCAAGATCTGCAACATGGGACGTAAGAGGCAATCGAAATAAATCTCCGTAAAAGGCAGTCGCGAGAAGTTCGAAACAGACGGCGGACGCGGCGAGGATCTGAGGAGCTAGGAGGAGACCTCATTGTGCTTTAAGAAAACATTAAGTAGAAGATCAATAAAACACAGCTTGTCACGGTCGATTGAGAATTGAAGTAAGGAAGATAGCAACGACGAGCGGTCGATTTTTAATTGTTTTAACTTACTCTTTCTTTCAAAATACCTCGTTATTAAAAAAAAAAAGTCAAAAGTTTATCGTGTCTAAAATCTATAATAGCTGTCCTGGACACGTTCCTGTATATGAACTCAATAGCAATAAATATAAAGTAAAATATTCAATAATTCTTTTCTACAGCACGATAAAATATGAAAGTAGAGAAAAGGTGAAAAAGAGATGTGCAATTTATGACAAGAGAAACGTATCCGTCAGTAAAAAAAAAAGAGTTATCGCTCCTCCTTGCTATCCCTTTGGGACTATGATTATCACCAGTATTACAACACGCGCGCACACACACACACACACACACACACACACACACACACACATACACATACACGCCACGTTAAATCTATGTGCGACAAGTTACAGCGCGAAAAGTGAATCACGCGAATCGCGAGATACGCCAATGTGACCGCTCGACGAGCGCTTCCATTAACAAACGTCGATCCTCATCAGTCCCTCCCTTACGACGAGGCACCGCGGGGCAAAACAGCCGCGGTTGTGCAGAAAAAAAAATTCGGCCAAAAAAAAGGAGATAAAATACGTTTCGTTCGAAATGTCGAAACCATCCTCGGCCGCCGGACGAAGGCACAACTGGTTCGAACGAGAGCTGCGCGAGCTGCCCGAACTACGATTGTCTGAAACTACTAGAGATATTAAAAGCCCAACGACGAGGTACTGTTAAGTAAAGACCGCGCGATTCCGAAAAAATTATACGCGCGAGAAATGCACGATCCAAAAATAATTTTGATTGTACCGTCGCGGTATCTCTATTTTCTTATAAAACCAAGATGTTAAAAAGAATTAATGAACATAAAATCGGTCGTCCGGCAAACATCGGACTAAAATGTTCAGTACCATACATAATTTTATCGATACCGGTACTCTTTTATATTACTAAGAGTCAATAGCATCATAAATTGATCGAGTGTTTAGTGTACTTCTCGATGTTCGTTTTTACAAGAGAAATTACAAGAAAGGATTGACGTATGTAAGTTAATGTGCATGATGACACACACAAAATTGTAATTAATTAAAGAACTTATACTCGTCTTTTACTTATACTTATCTTTTTGTGAGACATACATCGAGAATACGCTACATCTGATTGATGTAATAATAATACGTTCAGTATACCAATCGGTTTTTATTTCGTTTATCGTATAAAACCGAAAAATACGGTACGTAATCGGATATAACATTTGTTTGTAGCATTTTCAATTCTTAAATACGTTAGCTTGATGAATATAAAAAATGTAACGGGATTCCATATCGTCTTCATTTCCTTACGTATCAAATATAATTCCGTATTTCTAAAGGAAGAAAGGTAGAGAAAGTAGAGTGAGAGGTCTTCCTAAGATTCCGCGTGCGCTGATTTCAATCTAAACGGGATTGCGAGAAATAGACGAGAAAAAAGCACCCAAACATGAGCTAATAATTTATTAATCTTCGTTATATTTCGATTACGTGACCGGATACGTGGAATGCCTGGCGAAAACGGAGGGTCGAGAAAAGCATTATATCGCGTGATTGATGAACTTCGAAATCACAGCTCAATTTCGGAGGCTCCATAACTCGATAACTCGATTTAAGTGACAGATATCTCGATCTCATAATGGAAGGTTTTCGAGAGAGAAACTTCCGTTATTTCTGTTTAAAAAACGCAAGAAAAAAGAGGAAAAATACAAAGGAGCATCGGTTTTATGCGAATAACCATTTAAACAAACCGATCGATACACTAAAATCAAAATTTACTTAATATTACCTCGTCGATGGCAAAACGCGAGTAATTAGAGTTTCATCTTTTTTTTTTCAAAATTATATCGACCGTTTGAAAAAATGGTGTTGATTCAATAATTGGGCGATTAAGTAAGCAGTTATTATTTTTCGGCGAAAGATATAGTATATATTGTTGTAATAGAAAGATTTGAGAAATTTTATGAGGTACGAAAATAAATACAATTTATGCCGAAAGTAAATGGTTTGTGTGTTTATCAAATATTGAAATATTCCCGATAATGTGATAGATACATTAGCCATTGGTCCCGAACTCTCTTCCCCAGGTAACGTGACATTTAAAGACATCTTAATGACGTATTATTGACGTTGGAGACGTCATTAAAACATTATTAATATTGACATCACTCTGCTATCTGGCTCCCTGTCTCAAACTCTATCATTAGTAGGAATTGTTCAGCATAGCAAGCCATATATCATATAATATTTGAAAATAAATAGAGATAATCTCCGAAGAGAACGGAAATGGATTTAGAATCGTGGCGAGTCCCAAAATCCCTAACAAAAATATCTTGAATTTTCAAATCTTACTTTGCGCAGAAAGGTAGGCGTCATTCCGCGAGAAATTATTTTCATAATTAACTTATAATTAAATAAATTTTGAAGGAAAAATTGTCCAAAAAATTCCTTCGGTTCTTCGAACATTAATCGCGCCATTGGAAAGCCGTTGAGAGAAAATAATAAGATTTCTACTATACTGGATGATATATATAACACCAATTAATGAAAGAAAAGAAAGAAAAGAGGAGGAAGCGCCAATTATTTAATCGACACCACTTTCTCGGTCGCGCCTATAATAGTCAAATGATAAGCAGCAACGGAAGATGGACTATCAAAAGTAGAAAGAAAAGAAAGGAAGAAGAAACCTAATTACGAGAAAAAGCCTCTCCTCCTCGCTTGCGTCGCGCGAACGCTCTTGCGACGTATATAAAAGTTTTATCTAGCACTAACGGACTACGCGTGAAGATTTCGTAAGAAAATTGAACAACAAAGGGACGAAATATCGCGACATACGACTTACGTTTCGTAACGTAACACGCGGGAATCTGAAATGGGAAATCGTCGACACGAATCAGGCGACCGAATAAAAGCGATCTCGATCGCGCGCGATCCAAATATAGAATACGAAAGCTATCGACACACGGCGGCACCTCGCCTATATTTATTATTATTATTATCATTATCATCATTATCATTATTATCATTATTATTATTGTTATTATCATTATCGCCATTATTGTTACTTATTCCTTAGTTGAGCTAAGCCGAAGGGACGCGCGTGCCGAATCCTTCGTCGAGACTATCACGCCACGTTTTATGCGACGTAGTTTTAATATAGTTAATATAGTTTGCCACACACAACTCGATATTATTTCACGTTGCCCTTAGCGATGTACAATGTGGAATATATTTCGAGCGTAATTCGAAAGCGAAAATCGATGGAGATGATGAAGGAGGGCACCCCGCGTTCCTTCGTAATTTATGAATCGCCGAGCCGGGCCGTTTCTTCGAGAGAGACGTGCCGCTTCTTATTTATTTAACTAACGAATATCTCGTAGGAGCTTTGTGGTATTATCTCCCTCCTCTTCTTCCACCTGTGAATTAATCGACCCTCTTGCGCTTAAGTAATTCGTAATCCGCCGCGCCGACCGACCGCGCGACGCTTCCTTTTCTCCCGCCTTCGCGTGCCCATTGAGCACACTTTTGCGGGCCCAATTCGTTTGCGGGCTCAAACAAAAAAAGGGAAAAAAGGAGAGAAAGGAAACGTCCCGTTACGAATAGCGCGAATCGGCGCATGTACTTCGCGCAAACAATGCTAACGATAATAAACTATATCATCAGAATTCTCCTCCATTTATTTATCCCATTTATTTACATGCCCCTAGGGAACCCGTTCAAAATATCTTCCTTCACAGTATATTCATTCAAACGTGAAAAATGATTTCAGCGAAACGGGAGTTTGCTCGCTCTGGACGCCGCGGTTTTTGCGGGAAATGCGGGCTCGAGAATTATAAATGTATAGCAGCAAACTCGCGACGTTTCGCGGCGAAAACGTGATCACCTTGAAAATCAAAGATGCAATTCTTCTTTCAACGATATTAAAATTAATAATCGCGAATTTCGTAATAGATAAAATTGGCGTTTCTAATGACGTTTGGAAAACAGGCATCTAAACTCTGGAGAATTGAATAAGTGCGCAAAAATAAATCGGAAAGTGCATCGTCGCGCCATCGCCACGATAGCGATTGGAAGCAAAACGAAGAGCGGAAGAGGTAAGCGGATGATAAGTATACGTAGCTACTTCATCGATGGAGGTATTTGCAGTCTTCGCTCGCTGCTCCGTAATCCGCGAAAAATATATATTATATATATATAAGAAATATTAGAAATAAATATATAAAATAAATAACAATATATTAATAATCACTAACTTTACTAAAAGCTTTCATTAGACTTAAATGACGAGTTTTGGAGTAATTTGGAGTATAAAATAATATAACACACGGGCCAATGTGTAGAACAATATAAAATAATTTAAAACAATCTAGAACGACATAAAGCAACATAAATTCGCAGTAACACTTGCTGTCTGCCAACGCGCGGTATGAAAATATTAAAAAAAAAAAGAAACTGGAGTACTAAATGCGGGAAACCTGAGGGTAACGTTGTTCCCTAGTCAGGAAAGATAACCTCTTCGAGCGACGTGTCCGCGGGTCGCGCCGCTTCTCTTTAATGCTCGCGTTTCGCGCGGTACTGTCCGTAATAATCCGTAAATGACGTGCGACGAACACTCACCGAAATGAAACACGCGGTTTCTCCGCCGTCCTTCGACAAGATGACGTGACTGCGCTGACTGCGCACACCACGATACGATATGATTATGATAACGGATATAAAACGGTCGTGCTGTTTACACACAACGAATTTGACACGCTGTCTCGCGCGGACTATTTACCGACGTAAGACGTTTTGTAGTGGTCGCCCTGCGGCCTGCGGCGCGCTCCGTGCTTTCTAATGAAAATTCTACGTATCTGAATGCAAGATAATTTCGTACATACCGATATGTGCAGCAGCGAAGTTTTGTTTCAATCTAAAACAGAAATATATTCAGATTACAGTGTGGAGTTCCTAAGATGATATATAATCTTTCAAAAAGCGATTTATTGAATTTCTACTCGGTTTTTGTTTATATGTTTAAGATAAACAAAGATCAGAAGTTTTAAGATAAATAAAGATCAGATTCTTACGTATATATGTGCAGAAGTAATGAGTAAACATTTTACAAATGAAATTATAGTTCTGATTTACTTTACCTCGCGGTTGTTTTCGCTGTTGCACGACACCTCCCCGGGCCTCCTCCTCCTCTCCTGTTTCTCACCTCCACTGACTCCGCTCCTTCATGGCATGAACAGCACACAGATCACGTATTCGAAAATCTGGTCAGTCCCGATCGGCACTTCACGCGGCGTCATCGAAACTACGATCGCACGTAGCCTCGATGAAAAATCACTCGTCGTATTCACGCACCGCGGTTGCCTCGTTCGCGTTTTCTGCACTTGGAATGAAAGATAGTATGTAGTATGCTCGTGTTTTTCGAAACACGTGCCATCTCGCGTTATAATGAGAATGAATGGACAGAACAGACGAAGTAAAATTGATCGAGGAAACGTCCGTTGATCGAAGCACTGCGAAATATGTCGGCCGTCCTTCCCTTTCCCTCGCTCGTCACTCGCGCAATGGAGTAAATTTCGCGAGATACATATCGTCTCGATAGATCGTCATTGTGCGCAAACTGAATTTGTGTCACGCGATTGACAAATCCCGGCTGTACGCACAGCTGTATTTACTGATTAAATGTATCGTGACTCGTGACACCCGCGGCCCGCGACCCGCGCCGCTCGATCTGTTCTGTACTCACGACGTTTCTTTTTTCTTTACTGATCGACCGATTCGAAAGAGGCGCGGACAACTTCACTCCGATGCCGCGCGACATGACCGACATGACTAAAGACAAGTCCACGTCATACGCGACGAAAATACAAATCCGAAAATACAAAATCAGAATTATATAATATGTATTAAACACTGACGCGATAAATTATATATTATTAAACACTTAAATTATTAAATAATCAATTCTATTTGTTAACAAAACGACATTACAGTTGATCATTAATTAAATTAATCGGAGCTTAATTAGGTCGTCTTTAAAGAGCGTGACGTTGACTCTTATCTTTAATCGCATTGATAATTGCCAACATGAGAACGGTCAGAACGGTCAGAGCACGATCCAAGAGAGAATCCGAATTTATTTTCTTCGGGGCGCGTTTGCAATGAAGCCGAATGCTCTAATCGTATAACGAACGGCCGACCAATCCGCGTCGCGCGTGAACTTAGCCGCACTCGTGGCGGACGAATCCGACGAATGAGGCTCGACGCGACGCGACGCCGGCAACGCGAGAAACAACGAGACAGACGGGAGTGCGAAGCGAACAGTGCGAACACTCCCTACGGAGTACGGAGTAGTACGGAGTGGTGCGTGCGCGTCGGTGTCGGTGCGTTCGTTTGATGGATTGCCATTTATGGTGATCCCGAGTGACGACGGGGAAACATCAACCAAACATCACGCCTGGGATGCTGTAGAATAACACGGGGGGAGGAAAAAACGAAGGAGGAAAGACGCTTCGTCTCGCGCAAATAAGTAAGCACGCGTCCGCACGCTTTTCCTCATATCTCTCTCTCTCGGCACGAACCTCCGCCGCGCTTATCGTCCGCACGCACGGGCATCGGAGTGATGATGCTCCGCAAATATAAAGATGACGGCATCGCCGTCATATGAATAAGCGGCGGTGTTCGCACGAAGGGTGCGCGTCGCGCGACTGGGCAGTCCCCGGGCCAACGTTCGACCCGATCGCGATTTTCTCGTTTCGCGTTGTGAAACGGTTCCCTGAGGGAAAATGGGAACGAAATCGTACGTAATCCGAGTCGCGTCCTACTCCATCAGCCCGTTGAAAACTATTCTATCCGACGCAGACTTTTCTCTTAACTCTTTCGTCTGTCCAGCTGCTTTTCCCTATTCTAACGCTGCATTGACTGTTCTTAGTTTAAGTTTCTTACCTCCTTCTATTTTTTAATTATTTTTCAATTATTTATCTATGCGAATGTTTTTTGCTGGGTCAAAAGATATTTATAGGCTTACCCGCGTTTTTGCAGAATGTTCGGCAGCTCAAAATGGATCCTTGTGTTGGGGGTGGTAGCGGCGAGCCTGTTGGTCTCGTTCGCACAAATTTATCCACCTCCTCCAGAGAGGTTGACCGGCATGAATCCTTGTATCAGTAAACAGACATGCCATGAATGCATACAGACTCCGCATTGCGCTTGGTGCGCAGCACCAGTAAGTTTGATCAAAAGTTCTTGTTTTTTTTTCCCTTTACATAGCTCTTTTGTCGATAGAAAGTTGAGAAAAATTTCAGATAATGATATTTGAGGTTTGAGCGATATGAATTTTTAAGTGGTTTTGCTTTTGCAGAAATTTCCAGAGAAGAGGTGCTTCCTCCCGAATATCAATACCAAAATATTTGCAACGTGTCCTCCTGAATACACATGGAACCCAGACAATCTCTTCAGTATGCTGCGGCACCGGAACTTAACGAAGGGTGGTTACGCCGCTGGCGGCGCAGCAGGAGGAGGATACGGTATCGTCGATACTTCATACTCCAACTTTTCGTCTTCCAGCTCGTCGTCTTCGCATTCTCACAAGGAGAGTTGGGGCGGTAGTGGAAGTAGAAGGCAAGAAGCTGTACAAATGTGGCCGCAAGAAGTTGATCTGAAGCTCAGAATAAGTAAGTTATTGTTGCTTGTTTGAAGATAAAGTTAAATGTGTGAATGTTTTATTTTATTAATACATAATTTTTTTCAGATGAAGCTTACAGAATGTCCTTTGCTTATTCCCAAGCGGAAGATTATCCCGTCGATCTCTATTACCTTATGGACTTGAGTAAATCCATGGAGGACGATAAGAAGAAACTGTCTGATTTGGGTCAATTATTGGTTGAGAGTATGAGTAAGATTACCAGCAATTTCCGTTTGGGTTTTGGTAGCTTCGTCGACAAAGTCGTGATGCCGTATGTCAATACAGTGCCAAAATCGTGAGTCTCAAGATTTCTCATCGTGCAAAGTATATCGTGCTGTCACCAGTACTCATTTTTTTTTGTCTTTAATCTCAGTCTTATCGAGCCGTGTGATGGTTGTGCGGCGCCTTATGGGTACAGGAACATTATGAGGCTTTCTCAGGACACGAGCAAATTTGCGGTACAGAAATATCCATAGATATAAATATAAATAACACATATACAAATTTCAGATTAAGTATAAATTTAATTAATTTTGAAACTGAGATCTCTAAATCGAGATTAATTCTACATTTTAGTTCTCTTCTATTGATTTTTCTAGAGAAACATTCTTGTTTACAGGGATTAGTACGCAACGCGTCGGTGTCTGGCAATCTAGACGCGCCAGAAGGTGGTTTCGATGCAATCATGCAGGCGATAGTTTGTCGGAATCAGATCGGTTGGCGCGAGAAGGCGCGCCGACTGTTAGTATTCTCAACAGACGCTGGTTTCCACTACGCGGGCGATGGCAAGCTGGGTGGTATCATCAAACCGAATGACGGCCTCTGCCACTTGGATATCGGTGGTACGTACACTCACTCGTCTCTGCAAGACTATCCGAGCATCTCGCAGATCAACCTGAAGGTGAAGCAGAACGCGATAAACGTCATATGGGCGGTCACCGAGGAACAGATCAACGTTTACAAGAGACTGACAAAGCATGTGGAAGGTTCCTTCGCCGGCAAACTCTCGGACGATTCCAGCAATGTCGTGGAATTGATCCGCGAGCAGTACGACGCTATCTCCAGTTCGGTGGAGATGAAAGACACTGCCAGCAGTGCGGTCAAGGTCAAGTACTTCTCGAGTTGCTTGGGTACCGGACCGGCTGTCGAGACGTCGAAATGTGATGGACTGAAAGTCGGCACGAAGGTGGAATTTATCGCGGAGATCGAGGTCACCAGTTGTCCGGCCAACAGATCGGAATGGAAGCAAAAGTTTGACATTTACCCGGTAAATCGCGTCATTATGCAAACATAATCAGTCAATCGGAAATATATACCAGTTAGTTTTTTAATTTTTTTTTTATCTTCAATATTTATATATATTTTTTATTTTTTGATTGTATAATGCATTACATTAATGGAGCTACTGTTTTCCAGGTCGGTATCAACGAGACTCTCACGGTGAATCTGGAGATGCTGTGTGACTGCGAGTGCGAGCGTAAAGGTCATATGTACGAGGAATACTCATCCGAGTGCAGCGGCATCGGTACGCTCAAGTGTGGCGTCTGCGAGTGCTACGACGGATTCTTCGGCAAACACTGCGAATGTAGCTCACACCAGGAGCTAACTGGCTTCGACAAACACTTCCAGTCATGCCGTCCCGACAACACCACCCTCGTAGACTGTTCCGGTCGTGGCACGTGCGCCTGCGGCCAATGCGAGTGCGAGGAGCTGGGCAATGGCGAGGTATTTTCTAAATTCTCTAGCAGATCGATAAGTTCTCGTATGACGAATATTTGTCTTTCGTTTAACCTGCGCATCTATTATCGAATCATAACATTTATTTTTCATTAATTAATATCTCAACAATACTTACACTTAATGAAAGATATATAAAAAATGCCTAAGAAAATATAACGAAAGGGGTAGATGGATAAACGTAGAAATGAATGAAACAAAATGAAAATAAAACGGAACAGATATAAATAAATGTAATTTTTGTGTTGTAATAATATTTACGTGAGGAATATTTGCGGCATCACAAATTTATACTGTTGCAGATAATATCGGGACATTTTTGCGAGTGCGACAATTTCTCTTGCGATCGTGATCAGGGTAAGCTCTGCTCTGATCATGGCACTTGCGAGTGTGGTCAATGCGTCTGTAATTCTGGCTGGACCGGACCATCCTGCAACTGTAGGTCTTCCAATGATTCCTGCATCGCGCCGGGAACCACGAATGGTGTGCTCTGCTCGGGCCATGTAAGTAACAACAAAAAGACTACATTTACCATTTAATCTTTCTTTTCTGATATTCAGAATTTTAGTATAGTACAGTAAAATATAATATTTGTTATGCACACGCTCATATGTTTTAATAATTAAAAAAGAGAATTATGTAGTTACAAATTTAGAAAAGCCAGGAGATTTTACGCAAGATGTCTCTCATTTTTCACTATATAAAGGGCGACTGTATTTGCGGAGAGTGCATCTGTCATGAGGAGGGCAACATTCGATATTCTGGCAAACACTGCAATAAGTGCCCGACCTGCCCGAGTCGCTGCGAAGAGCTGAAGCCCTGCGTGCAGTGTCAGATGTACAGCACTGGGAACTACAGCGAGCCGGAGGAATGCGCGAGGAACTGCAAAGAATTCGTGCCCGAGGGCGTGGAAACGGTGATCGTCGACGTGGACAACGACGAGGTGCCATGCTTTGGCACGGACGAAGATGACTGCAAGTACAACTTCGTCTACTACTACAACGAGACAAACTGCCTGCAGGTGCGCGCTCAGAACGAGCGCGAGTGCCCGCCACAAGTCTACATGCTCGGCATCGTGTTGGGCGTGATCGCGGCGGTGGTCCTAATCGGTCTCGCATTACTACTGCTGTGGAAACTACTGACGACTATACACGATAGACGAGAGTTTGCCCGATTTGAAAAGGAAAGGATGATGGCGAAGTGGGACACGGTACGATTTTTATTTCTCGTATCACAAACCATGATCAGATCGAGATTTTAAGAATTTGATTTTAATAAAACTTTAGTCTTAATTTTTACTGCAAACAGAAAGAAATCTTGAGTATCTTAAGTAGAAGTACCTTGAGAAATCTTAAGTAGAATTTATTATTTATATGCTAATTATTTTAATGACATTTTCCTTTTGCTCACTTTATAGGGAGAAAATCCGATCTATAAACAAGCGACTTCCACCTTTAAAAATCCGACCTACGCCGGAAAGTAACGTGTCTCGAAACGGAGGAGAAGATAACGTGAGATTTTCAAGAAAGAATCGACGCGTCGCTACGACATAACGCGATTTCGAATAATTCGCAAACACGTGCGAGTGCCGATGACGCGCGATTTGGTATCTTGTCTCGAATTTAGCAAGAGTTTAAATTACTCGAAACCTCAACAGCATAACGAGATCTAAAGCTAACGTTTTAGCGTATATAATTATTTAAAGGAACTAATATTTAAATATATATACGTATACTCTATTTTTTTGTTGAAATATTTGTAAAGAATGACTTAATACTGCCATATAACATAGACTGCATTTCGAATGCGCGCGCGCACGCGTAAAACGCGCTATTTGTTTACGAAGTCGTAATGTTACATTTTATTGCGATCACGTTTTAAGAACCACGCTAGTTAGACTAATTCTGAGAATCAAGTGCCTTTAATGTCATTATCATGGTAATATTCACTACCAAGCGTGTATTAACTCTTGATTTTTTTTACGTTTCTTACGATATACGTAATGACGTACCAGATATTACTTGATGTGTGAGATATAATTCAGAGATGATAATTCAGAATCTGGAGAAAAACAAGTCCATACGATTTATTTCACTTTGTCACGTCAGCTATTTTCTATACGCATTATATGCTGAGTATTACTATTTCTGTAGTGTGTATTAGAATAAGTTTACGTTATCACTTTGAAGATAAAGAAAATCATTCAACAAATATTAGAAAATTAGAAGTTACCAGAATTTTCGGGAGAACAAACTGGAATGCCTCACGAACATTGTTTTTAATCAGAAAAATGATAAGACAGATATGAAACTTGAGCATATATAAGCATATATGTCTCGAGGCAATCACAGTTATAATAGCTCGAGATTTATTGAAATGCGAAAGCGACTGTAATTCCAGGACGAAGCGAAATAGACTGTATGTCAATCTTTTATTTATTCTCCAGCGCTAGGGGAGGGTGGGGGGGAATCCAATCCGAAGTGTATCGCACACATTAAATCACATCTCGTACTATGTTATATTTGCTATACATGGAAAAAAAGCATTCTAATTTTTTCATTCAGAAACGAATAACTATCGAAGATTTTACTATTTACGCACTATTTACCAGTGCAATCTATAAGATACACTTTACACAGCGAAATTTGACGAAAATTTGCATTTACCTGCGAATTTTTTATCCTGTAACGTACGTGTTTTAATCGTTAAAGTGTATTTTTACGCAACTAAGGAGGACGCGAAAGTGTTTATATAGGAAATTGTATAAATGTATAAAGTACTGTCCGAGACCCGAGTAGAAGTAAGTTTACTCCGTGTTATAACGTTAGCTCGATGATGATAACTGCACGATTATGACTCGCGTATTATATATATTTCGTAAAAATATATATAATATTATATATATAAATATATATATACATACATAGGATGCTCCTTAATTAAATGTCAATTCTTTATGGGGTGAATTCAGAATCAATGCAAGAAAAAATGTCAGATGAAACTTTATTTTTCGAATCGTAATGAAGTAAAAAAAATTTCTAAACGCGCGTCCTATTTTCGCTGCAATTTTTCGAAGACAAATAAGAAGCGAAAGTTGGAAAGTATTTCAGAATTGGAGTTTTCGACACTCTCTCTCTCTCGAAAAGTCGACGAAATATATCTCACTTTTCTTTCTTGTTTTCGAAAGAGAAACAATTGCGGTGGAAGGCGGACTTGTTAAATTTGCCAATAAAGCCCGAACGACCTACGTGAAACGTTCGTCTCGTCTCGAACTGCAAATTCCCCCGTAAGTAAATTGACATACAACTAAGGGCTGACCCGTACGTCACGTAGTCACGCGTTTACGATATTTCTAACGTAGGAGGAGTGGAAGTAACGAGGATTCCGGAATATATCAAGTATAAATAATTCCGAAGGTAAACAGTTGCGTGCATGACAGCTGAATTATTTATTTCAGTCTTCTCTCTATTCGTGAATCTCACGAGGAGCCAGATCGATCCGGAAGGACTTGGGGGTGCAGCGTGGCCTTCTCTCCATTGTGCCACGAGGAAAAAGAGACTAATAATAGCGCGGTAGAACGTGAAATCGCGAGTTCGCCGCGCGATCGTTATACACAATTATCGTGTTGTTTGTCTAAACCGTTTTACTCTCTTTTTTATGATTTTTTAACGACTAATTTTACGATACAGCTAACCGCGTCCTCACGACATTATTAATCGCCGTTTTTCTTTTATATATATATATTATATAACTTCAACGAGAATTAATTATAATCGATGTTACTCCACGTGCGATGTAGTTCGCAGACTCGATAGACTATATATGTAAACCTTGTGCGAGGACTAATAAAGACGATGTGTTAGTAAGTTAGTAATTTTCCTCATTTGCAGGGAGTTGCTCAGGAGCCGTGGGAACCGCCAACAATGTTTGCGGGTCATTGTGGGTCAGAATATAGTAGGCACGGACTAAGGGTGAAAAATTGATTTACGGCAAGATTAATAAAAATACTGCGATGTTTCCATCACGGCCGCGCGCGTATTCGTGCGTATCGCAACGCGAGCGTAAACACGAGCGTGGGGAACGAGGAAGAAGAAAGGAGAGAGGAAGAGATAAAGTATGTTGGATTATCTCTTCGTACGCGCTCTCTCTTTTCTTTCATATCGATCGGCTATCCAGCCGAGCCTCCTCGCGAGAATCTCTCAATTCCGTGCGGGGGAAGATATCACGGACGTAATACGGAACGTGATATCTTCCCCTTGAAATTATCACTTCCGGGGCGTTATCAGAGTCGTTAGAGTTTTTCTTCCCGAGGGAACCACGAGCGTCCCGACGAAACGGAACGACTGCGTTCGAATCGCGTGTGACATCATTTTGAATCGATTACGAATCTCGGAAAGGTTTAAATTCGAAAATAGCCGATAAAATATGTGTTTGTCAACGAAAGACACGCTGATATTAAAAATATCTGAACTGCGTCATATGTTTTTTCTCGTTATCTCATCAAATCTGTTTATCTGACAGAGAGATATGCTTAATGCGCATTCGATGATTCATCTTAATATTTACTTCCATAGCCGTGCTATGTTCTCTGTTAATGCGAGTGATAAGCCGAGGACGATGTGTTTCGGCGTGACGCGCGAAATACGCTTTATCTCTTTTTGCACAATTAATTAAAGTCAACGGCAGTTTCATAAACGCCGCCGCGCCGCGCCGGTGCGGTAAATTAATGCCATGGTTAGACGGCCGCGGTTTTTACCTGGCACAGCGTTAAATGTTAAACTAAAATATATTGCCGATTTTCTTTGCAGCTAGGAAAATTGATTATAATTATTTACATCGAGCAGGATGAGCAGGAATCGTAGGAAAATCTCGTAGCAGGAAATCTTACGAGTGCGGGACTTAAAGGCCGCAAAAATGGGGCTTAAAAAATTACGTGGATAACTCTCCGACAGTCTCGACACTCGACTCTCCTTGCATCAACGACTTGAGAAAATACGTCAAACTATACTAATACATCTTGTATTTTGTTTCACGTTTCTTATTTCGCTTTTATTTGAGGAATTGTAGAAAAAGAGAGAACAAAATTATCTTCATCGCAAATCGCTCAATCGTGACACAAACAATATGTAATCCCTCCTTTATTATTTCTCATTCCTCCGGCAATGACTGAATAAAATAAAAAATTAAATTAATAAATTAATCTCTCCGCCAATATTTGTCACAGATTAAGAGGAAAAGGATAACTTTGAGCAGCAAAATTTCTATTCAAACTCTTTGAAATGGAATGAGGAGATAAGATTCGAGAGAAAAGATACACATAAAAGGTATGTACGAACATAAAAACGCGCGGTTCTTATTACGCGCGATACGTAGCCTTTTTTAAGTATTAAAAAATTTCCTTTTGTAGACTATCATAAAATTGAAGAAAGAAGATAATACGAAACTCATGATTACGTCAGAAAGAGATACGGGAGAGGGGGCAAGTCGCTATAAAGAATTGAGGGGAAACTGACCTGTCCCACTGTCCCCCCCCCC